GGTCCTCCCCCCCCCCCCCCCCGATAATCAGTTTTGGGATAAAAGGTGGTGGATCTAGAATTTGGTATATATTATTTGTTTATAGGATTTTTTTCAAGCAACTAGAGTGAAGGCTTTAAGAGACTAAAGACTGTACGGAGGTATTTCATCTTAGGGTAGCTTCTAGTAGAAACTGCAAAGTTGGAAGGCCTTCTGTTGCTAGAGAGGCAGATTCTTCTGAGCTATCAAGGGACGCATAATCCTCCAAACCCAACACCTTGGTATTTTAATTTATGTTCTTGTTTTGGGATAGCAGAGTCCAGTAGTTTTTACCTAAAAAATTCTTGAAAATCACAATGCTTTCTTTCAAGTGCAAAGAACTCTTGCCAAAGGAAGGACGCAGGTTGAGTTTGTTTTGTGTGCTCTGTAGCATTAAGGTCATAATCACATTATGATTAAAAAGAATGTCCAATCTAGCTTGAAGTCGGCGCTCAAGCATGAGTGTACTGTCTTGAAGCCTTAAGTGTCAAAGGCTGGCATTCATAATAGCCTTTTGAAATGACACCTGAAGCAGAAATGTTTTGCTTCTGAGCTTCCCTGCAGCTTGTCTTCAGGAGGAACCTGCTGCTGTTTGAGGACTATATGGAAATGTTAGAGCTGTGGCCTAGTGACCAGGAAACAGATAATGAAAGAGTGAGAATTCTGAAAGACATAATGCCTTTGTGTTAATATTTCTTGTGCTGAGGGCTCCACAGTTGACTAAATCAACTTTTTGCAGAGGAAGAGGTGGAGAAGCTAGCCTGGCAGATGAGACTCATCACATGAGTGGCAACATGGAGAACTGAGGCTTTTGATGTCAGTAGTTGGAAATGGGTGGTAGTGGAATTGCTGCTCTTGTGCAAGAGTGGGCAGGAAATCTGTTGTGCACGCTATCACTTGCCCAGTAGCTGGGAAGAGTGGTGTACGAGCAGCTTCTGCTTGTACTGCTGGGCTGAAGAAGCCCTAGCATGACTGAGCTGGAGATCAGTTGTTTTGCTGTCTTAGCAATGAAAACCAAGATATGTTGATTTTGGGAGATGGGAGATAGAAGTTGCCACCTGTGAACAGAGGAGAGTACGTAACTGCCTTTGTATCTGCCTTCCAGGTGAACAAGAATGATATTAGGAAAAAGGTGCGTCGTCTAATGGGAAAATCACATATTGGATTGGTACACAGCCAGCAAATAAATGATATTCTAGACAAACTTGCCAATCTGGTAAGTAAAACAGTGATGAGTGATGTATCTGTTGGAGCTACAGTGGAGGAAAAAAATTATCTGAAAATTCTTCTACAAATGCTCTGCAACACTAATTTAAAAATATTAAAAATAATGAAACTGAATTATTAAATACTGTCTTCACATGTATAGAATAAAGACAGTGATTGTATGACTGTTTATAATATTATGTTATGCAGTTACCAGTTAGAACTGCAATAAAAAGATGTATAAACGTGACACTTCAGTACCACAGTTCTATGCAACCCTAATGTTTTCTTAATATCACTTTTGTGGGTGGGAACCTTCATTTTTACTATGACTGTAACAAGTGTTTAGTTTTCCATCAGTTTCCAGGTCATTATAAGACTTGTAGCAATCAGTTTCTATACAAAACTGTTTCCACTATCAGCTGCCATGCAGAATAAACCTTATGTCCTGTAATGCTCATTAAGAATATAGGCTAACACTGAAGTTAATAAAACTAGCCAGCTTTTAGCACAACCATCACCAGGGTGGATGCAAGTTTAGGCCCTTTTGAAAGCTAATTTTTCAAAGCATTTTTACATTTGGAACTTAGTTTTATGCATAGAAAGGACAGAAGAATATCTTCCAACTGATTGGGAAAAAGCAGACCAGTTTACTGCAATGTTACTGGAACCCAGACACCTCACTATCCCATACTGGGTACGGTACCAGCATGAATGTTGTTGTATGCTATGATAACTCTTACAGTCACACTTGTTGAAACTAAACTTACTAGAGTATCTTGCTTACAGCTTTGTCCAAAATTGCCTCCAATCAGCTGTGTTAAAAATACTTTTTTCTTTCATTTGTTGCAGATGCTTCTAGTGTCACCTGATGGACTGTTTTGCAAAAGATCAGGCGAGATTGGTTTCAAAATTCATTAATAATTGTGTATTTTTTTTTCTCTAGAATGGACGGGAACTCCCTGTGAGACCCAGTGGCAGCCGTCACATCAAGAAGCAGACTTTTGTAGTACATGCGGGGACAGACACAACAGGAGACATATTTTTCATGGAGGTAGAGAAAAGAATAATATTAACGCAAGTAGTAGCATTCAATAGATAATATTAGAAATCTTATTTAATATTTTGTGCGCCCAGGTATGTGATGATTGCATTGTGCTGAGAAGCAACATTGGAACTGTGTATGAACGTTGGTGGTATGAGAAGCTCATCAACATGACTTACTGTCCCAAAACAAAAGTGCTGTGCCTCTGGCGGAGGAATGGTCAGGAGACACAACTGAACAAGTTCTACACAAAGAAGGTACACATTGTGTTTAATACACAGAATACTGAGGGAAAACTGCATAGAACAAACAAATCCTTCATGCGTCATGTTCCATGTTTAATCAAAAAATAGCATTCTCTCTCCAGCACCAGTTACTGAACTGTAATGGCTGTTTAACAGCACTGGTATCTGAAGCTGGTGTTAATGCATTGTCATTTACCTGAAGACAGTTGGTTAGAAGAAGGAAAGCATCAGTATTAATAAATATTGTGTGAGCTTGCAGGTTTATAAAGGTAGTAAAAATACTGTGGTAGATTCGTGGGGAAAAAGCTAAATACAACTATGTCTTAGTAATTGAGTTAATTGTGTCATTTTTAATGACAAACCCAAACTGACAAAATAGATAGAAAATTTTCTCCATGGGCCTGTGTTTGATTTTTATTTCATATATGCCTACATTCTCCACTAATATGAAAGCCCCTTTTTTCTCCTTATGATTAATTGCAAATATAAAGAAATAGCTTAAACCTACTAGGAAAACTCCAGTAACTCCTACATAATGACCAGCAAACAAAAGGTAAAGATTTGTAAATGTAATATATCGAAAGGTTATTATCTTTGAGATATATAAAAGGATTAGACTTCTGCTTCAAAAAATTAATTTTACATAGACTAGGTCATCATAATGCAGGTGTGAATACAAAGGGAAGGAGGACAAAAGCAGTGTGCTACAGAAGTTACTTGGAAAATTAATTGCATGTATCTTGGGCTTCAGATAGAAAATTTTCTTAAATTGTACTCTGAGATTATGGCTTGACTATTATTTGATACTAAAGAAGGGAGTTGGAGGACGATGAAGAGAAGAATATGGCATAAGGAAATTGACATGAATAACAAAAAGATAGATCATATGAGCATGACCAGTAATACTGATTGCTGGAAGCTGAAAGAAAGGGGGAGGATTGTGACATTGTTTTGAGACTTTTTCTACACTAGGAAACTGAGTAAACTTGGTTAGATTGCTCATGAGCATGTGCCAAGCCATGAACTTTTCACTACCTTGTGCTATGAAATGATATGAAATAGTTTCTCTGTCAACTTGAAAAATAAATATAAATACCATCCAGTAATTAGCTGTGGTTGAACTTTTATAGGCTTTTTGTCATTATGCACCACATGAGTCTTGTTCTTTTTGTAGAATCATAGAATCTTGCTGTTCTCTTCCCTTAGTAATTTGGAAAAATAACATCATATTACTCTTCTTTTATATATTAGTGTCGGGAATTATACTACTGTGTAAAAGACAGTATGGAGCGAGCAGCAGCAAGGCAGCAAAGCATTAAACCAGGTACAGGATTTTGCTTGTTGGGAACATTTGTTGTTTAATCTGCAATCAACAAAACTTTTTTATTAATAACTTCTTTGAACATAATCTCCTTTTACTTGGAAATCTTAGGGTAGCTTTGTACATCTGTGCGTATGTAGCAGACTTAGTGTTATCATTAGCTTGCCCCCATATACCTCACTCTAAATAGAAACAAAACCAAAACACTTGCATAAAGAAGAGTTACATGTAAGGAGGACTAGCTGCCAGTAAAATGATAACTAGAAAAGACTATGAAACTTCAGCTTCACTTTCTCTTCATGTTTGGCTAGCTACTCCTTATATTCCTGATTGAGATGTAGAACAATGTTGTCCACTTTGTGTTGAGAATGGAGGCTAATAAATATGCTTGTTCGCATTAGTGAATCTACAGTGATGAATCTGCAGCTTTCTGCAGACTTTCAATGCACAAACCTTTTCTGTATTGGAAAGTCTTGTACTGGTGCAAGTCCAAAGGTGCAGTTAAGCCAATGTCCTTTATTGGTATAACTTCTCCACTGTAGACATTCTTCTTAGTTTTGCATCATCATCTGGGACAGGATAGTATAATTATATTGGTGAAATGTTTCTTGGCAAACACCCCTTTCCTTTTCCTGTTGAGTAAAAAAAAAACCTAGAAAAGTAGATTTGCAGTTTTGGGAGATTGAGTTCTTGGGAAGGCAATTTTCCATTTTTCTTAGTCCCAGAGAGCAGCAGGTGCTGTATGTACCTGGGCAACAAACGTGAAGGTGACTTATTTTATACCTTTGTAAGATGGTTGTTTCTCCCTTGCTGGAGTCTGTTTGCAGGTTCAGGGTAACATCGCTGTGGTTTCGTGTTTTCAAGTTTGATTTTTGTTGCAACTATTTCTTTTTTTTTTTTTTCAAGTGGTTGCTAGGACTCTGGGAGCCATGCTTTGAGGTGCAAGCCTATATTTTAGGTGTGTCTTAATGCCAAATTTAAGGGATCTACATTTTATACTCATAACTGTCATCAGCATGACTGAGAAAATTACTTGTGTTTAAATCTAGCATCCTAAGTGTTCAACCCTCAGCTAGCTGTTGGAGCTTGGAAGAACCACCATTTTCTTCCTCCTACCATTAGTCCAGTTTAATTTGAGGAGGGGGAGGAAGGACTGGACTTCCACTAGAGTAGAGGAGACAAAAGGGTCTTTGAAAGCTATTTTAAGAATTAGTATTAAAGTATTATATAATTATATAGTATTTTATAATATAAAGAATTAAGTATTAAAAATATGTTTGAAAGCCATTCTCCAGAGTTCAGTGGTTCTGCACAATTGATAATTTTAAAAAAATCATTATAAGAAAGCATTTTCTAGCTGAACTGAATGATGCAAAAGAAACTAGATGAAAATGCCTAGACTGTCATCTATTAATGTGCTCTATTAAATTGTCATTGTTGTAACCATGTTGACCTTTTCATTGCTGAAAGCATAAAACAATGCCATACAAAGTCATCAAGCTCACAAATGCAAGCCTAGTTTGTGCTTGCTTATGTGTTTGTACTGAAGACTATGCTGTCTAGTATTATGTGATTGCAGTGTCTTACCATGCAGAAATGAAATGTGACATTTAAAACAAACAAACCCCCAGTATGAACTACAATAAATGCAGACTGAGCCAACACCGATATCTCTTCATGTAACCAGGATGAAATTTATTACGATACTTAAAAATCTAGTGGTTCTCAGAAGGCTGTTACTACTGAGTGGACTCTACTGAAATGCTCCCTACTATTGTTAGTAGTGTCCTCTTGCTAGGCACATCAAATTGAAATTATGTTTTTATTGTTTTATATTTCCCTTCCACGTATCATGACTTGGCTGACTGCTTTCTGTTCATTCTCTCTCTGGATATTTTTGGGTTTTGGTTTTTTTTTTGTTTTTTTTTGTTTGTTTTTTTAATTAACATATCACAGGGCCTGAGTTGGGTGGCGAGTTCCCTGTGCAGGATATGAAAACCGGTGAAGGAGGTCTTCTTCAGGTCACACTGGAAGGAATTAACCTGAAGTTTATGCACAGTCAGGTATGAGGGAAATCTATGAGAAGACTGTGAGCATGAAGCTTTTTGCAGCACGCCTGTGTATGTGTTTCCTCTTCCCAGAGTATCAACAAGGACAAGGGATAGCATGATGGGGATAAAAAAGCTTATGTATATTTACATGCAAACACACACACATGTAAAAATAAACTGAAATTAAATATCCTCAGGAAAAGTATAATCAACTGAAGAGAAACACTGATACAGGTTTCAACTTCTTGTTTCTGGTGTTCTGAATTGTCTAAGCACAAAATAAATGGTAGCCAATATATTAAGGGACAGAAAAAGCAATCAATAGTAATCTAAACTGCCATAATGCATCAGACTGTGAACATATCCTGATGGCATAAGCAGTCAACCTTAAAAGATACAGTGTTTGAATACTGCAGGTACAGAGGGCAATGTTCTGCATCATATTTAATCTGTCTTGTTTTAAAATTTGAGAAATCATCTGTAGAATTTAGTGTGAAAATAAAATGGGAAAGTGGCTCTTGCAGTAATTCACAAAAATGAGAAAAAATTACTGGTTCTTTTTTCCTTCCAAATAGCAGATCCTGTGGGCTTAGAGGAAACACAACTAGAATTGTCATTTCTTCCTTTCTCTGGATGTTTTTTCTGTTGCTTCCTTTAATCCTTGTTTTTTATTTTGCTTTGTGTTTTTTTGTTTTGCATATATTAAATGCATGCTATGCTAGACAGTAGAATCAATTTTTAGGGGAGAGAGAGAGAGTTTGTGTGTGTGAGAGAGAGGGGGAGAGAGAGAGAAAAGCTTCTGTCAGTCCTCTGTGGAGTGTTTTTTCCTTTCCTCCTGACTAGACTTTTTCTCCCCACACAAGCTTTGTTCTTCTTGGAGGATACATCAGTGTAGATCCCACTGGAAGTGCACGTGCATCTCAAACACACATGCTCAGAATCTTTAATACTTCTCCCAAGGTCACAGCAGCACCATGTGTGCCATACATCATCTATGCCAGTATAAGGAGTGGAGAGTGGTGAACCTCCTTCAGTTTTCTTCCTGTCTATTACCAGGGTAGAACCTGGACTACACCTGACCTGCTGTAGTATTTCAAACCTACCCTGTGATGGAACAGCCTACCTAACTTAGTTATAGATTTTAACTTTTCATTGGATATGCCAAAATACAAAGAACTGCAAGAGGAACTCATTGGTAGTACAGAATGAATTTTCATAGTTATTGGAAATGGCGGGCCTAAAGCCTTAGAAAATTAAACCCTGGTCTCGAAGCAACAGTTTGATATCATTATAGATGGACATAATAGAAATTACTTTGTCCTAAGGTAAGAACACAGCATAGGGAATGTTCTATTTACTTCTCCTTTTTCTTCTTCTGCCAGAAGTCAAAAACAATGTTGAGCTCAAACTGCTCATCACTTGAACAGTCTATGGAGATGACTCTATTTAATAAACAAACAGCCAGGCAAATATGCATTTGCAGTGAGAAGAGATATATAAGAAGGTAGCCTCATCCTCATAATCATGGTTTCTTAAGTGCAACAGGCATCTTCACAAGATGAAGACACTCAGTGTTAAGCACATAGTGAGCAGACATGCATCTGTCCAAAAGAAAAACTCCAAATCCCTAGAACATACCCTAGTTCTTAAATTTAAAGCCTTTTTTTTTTCCTGAAAGATTGGAATGACATTCTGAAAGAAACCTTAGGGAAACCTAGTACTGATTTGTTATTATACGATTGTCAGGACCATTACCAGTTGAATTTCGTACCACAGATACTGAGTCCTGTGCTACCACCAGCACTCTTAGAGTACTAGCTTTATCATATCCTTCCTCACAGAGAATGGTGTTCTAATTTGTTGTCTCTGATGAAAATTACTACATCCTTTCTGGAAGACAGTCTGTGCAGGTCAGACCCAGGAAGTATGTTGGCTGTCTCCCCCAGCCGAAAGATTATTCCTCCTCTTCATCCCCTTTCCAATGAGGCTGTAGCCAGATGAGCTTCCATTACTTAAGATGGATATTGAAACAAGTACAGTTCTGGAAAATACACTTAATTTATTCAGTATGTTTAATTCCTGGCTTTTTAGATTTACATTGCCAGCTGGCAAGGGCATTCAGTACCATTTAGTGGACCTAAGACATATCCTTGTTTTCCTTCTCAAAACAAAGTGTCTAGACAGATATCAAAAGTCTGCCATTTGAGGGTCTGTATGGAATGGACTACTGTAGCAGTTATGTAAAGAACTCCTACAAGTTGCACCATGCAAAAAAAGAAAAAATCCCCTCCAATTTCATAATCTGTGGAGCTAAAGAATGTTTGCATTCTTATTCTAACACTCATCAACCAGTCTGCTTTCTTAATAAAAGGTCTGCTATTCTAGAGGAATTGTTCTTTCCAATTTTCATTTAAATTATATGAATTGCTCCCTAAGGCAGCTGATTTCAGAATATGTATAAGAGCATGATCAAAACCAGGATTGTACAGCCATTTTTCTGTGTTTGAAAATGCCTTTTTCCATTTCTGTTGAGTTTGGATGGGGATACTGACCAACAAATGCCTACAGGACCTCGTCAGGCACAGCTTTCTCTTCATCTTCCTCTCCTTACTCCATATAGAGGTCCTGGGTTTGGCCCTTTCCAAGTACTCTTTTCAGCAAAGCAATTTACTAAAAGAAGGAATTTCTATTGCTCTGTTTGGTTGGATATCAAAGAAATAATTCATTTAGAACATAGGAAGATGGCTTTCTACTTTAAAAAAAAAAAAAGATAAACGGAGTCTATTCTGTCCTACCTGAGAAGACAATATACTGCTTCAGTGTTAGAATGGTGCTTGCTTTCATAAAACTGTTTTTGAAGGCTCTTGATTTGCAGCGTGTATACTTTCTTAGTGCCTTCTGAATTCCTCAGGAAATGTCTTAGATGCATGGTGGGCCAACCCATTATTGACATGTAGTAGTTGTCTGTAGTGTTCACAAATTCTCCCACCATGCCAGCAGCACACATAAGTTTAAGAAGAAAAAATCTTCAAGTCTATCTGTGCCTAGCAGGTCAGAGGAGGTCCTTTGGAATAGGGAGGAATCAAGTGTACCTGTGGCATTGGCAGATTATTCTGAGTTTACATCTACAAATTACATTATAATATTGGGACTCAGTAACTCTGTCCCTGTTATGAATTCATCTGTGTCAAAAATAGATGGAAGTTTAATAAAATGCAGCAGGCACATGCCCATCTACAGTAGGATCCACACTGAATGCTCTGTCTTGAAGAACCACAGTTTCCCTAGGGTAAGTAACTGTTATTTCCTTTATGCTTGTTTTCTGATTGAGTGAGAGGAGAGCATCTGTGTCCCTTAAACAATATAGCAAGAAATTGCCCATCAACTCCTATGTCTTCTGAAAATGGATAACTTACTGTAATTGTGCCAAACTCAGTAAATTCTCATCTTGCTCATAACTCTTGTGGAAATGCAGCTCTCCTCAACATTATACTCAGATCATAGCACCTGGGGCAGTCAAATCTTTTAGGCAGCTTTACTGTTACCAGATAACCAATGTTTTGCCCGAGCCTTGCTGTTGAGTTTCTGAATTTTGTACTTTAGACTACTGGCAAAAACTTTTCACAGAAAATATTACAGAAAAAGGCAACCAAGTGCAATAAAGAAAGTGTTCTCTTATTGACTTGTTTACTCTGTAACTATTCCTCAAAAAATAAAACATTTTTGACCAACTAAACTGATAAAGAACGTGGGTGAAAACAGGCAAACAAAAAAGATGGGATTAAGTCTCCTTTCTCTTGAGTGCTTGAATGTATGCAGAAAGCAAGCTTCAGATTTTCTGATTAAGTAAGTGGAAGTTTAGTTTTTTATATTGAGCAAAAAATATCTGTGTCTGTTAGTTCTCTGCTAATAAAAATGATAATAAAACACCTTTCACTTGAAAATCAAGCTGATTTCTCTCAGATGTATGGTGCATTTACTGATCTCTCTTGATACAGATAAACCTGTTTCTTAAAAAAAACCCACAATTTCTGATGTTGACTTCCTTTGCTTTTCTTGGGTAGCATATCATCTATGATTACATGGGTGTTGCTATTATTGGATTCAAGAGGGTTGCAGGTTTTCATTTCCCTGCTTTCCAAGACAATGAAGTTTCTCTAGTAACATTTTTAAACAGGATCCTGAGATTGGTGTCATAAGTGTATAGGCACTGAAAGTATCAATCCAGACTACTGTAATATAGTCTTGCAAGGGTCTCTCTGAGGTATTGGGCATAGACTTACTCTGAATGGTAGGGCAATGTAGCTCTTAAGTGTTTCTCTTGCCTTGAAAAAGCAAGTATATTAGAAACTGGAATACGAAATTGATTCCTTATAGCATTTTCTTACAGCTTCTTTTATGTCTGTGTACTGATTGACCCTTTAGGAGATGTGCATATAAGAAGGGACTGTTTTGTATCTTGAAATCGACTGGATATTGAACAAACTCATTACGCTCAGAGAACTTGTTTATTCGTGCACTCTTGGCATCTAGATTCTGGACTGAAAAACCTTGTCGTGTAGTTCAACTGTTTTGTCTTTTGGGGTTTACATATGTAAAATTAAAGTTTAAAGCAGGTTTGTTTTCTAAGTGACTGCTCAGCTGGTAGCAGCCATATGTGAAGTGAGCAAACAATAGAGAAGGATCCAAACTCCCATCCTGCTTAAAGCAGAAAACTGGTACTGACTGTTAAAGGAGACAGTTCCAAGAGTAAGTATGCAGGTTATGTATCACAAACTGTAGTAATAAACTGCAAGGCTGTGAGGGAGAAGGAAGATCAGTGGTTCCTCATTGGATTAAATTCAACTACTGAATAGGTTAGGAGGATCAGTGTCAGGGTGGGAAGTATAGTGCCCCTTACCTGCCCTCTGTGCTGGAGGAGGATGCATGGAGGGGCAGAAACTAACTGGGATGGATCAGAGGCTACAAATCGTGCCAAATTTGGGAGCCAGCTTTTTTTCTCGTCCCCCTCTTCTGTTGTATTTCAGGTGTGTTGGTATTCTTTTTGCAATAACTCATTTGAGTGCCTGAAGGGGTAGCAATGTTGGATATGTCAGAGTTACTAACTCCTTCGTTTCTCTTCCATGCTTTCTCCTCCTGCAAGGAGCGGAAGGTACTTCATCTTCTGCTGTCTTCGCTTCTTAGCACTTTTAAGTTATTTGTTGATTTCTAGCATTGTGGCAAGTTTGTCTTTTGAATATTTATTTCACCCTTTATTTTTATATTAAACTGTAAATGAACTGGTAGTGTATGCTATATTACTTCAGGTTGTATCTGCTGTGATGATGTTTTTGTTTAATTTTGGTTTTTACTTTAAAAAAAACAAACCTGACTAATTTTATGTTACTTTTCCTCCTGTTTTTGTAGGTTTTCATAGAGCTGAATCACATTAAAAAGTGCAATACTGTGCGAGGAGTCTTTGTCCTGGAGGAATTTGGTAATTACATTATTTTGATATTAGGTCTGTACTCACATGGCAGTAACTCAAATTTCCAGTCCTCAGATTCAGAGTTGCACTGCAGCTTCAGAGATGGGAGAGAAATGTAGACTGCACATGAGATGTTGCCTGAGAGATGGGTGACTTAACATAAAAATTTACACATTGATTTTTATCATAGTAAGATTTGTGGCCTAGGTGTTTTTTGTTAATAGACAGAGATGATGTTCTGAGTCTTCTGAAGCAAACAAAACAACAGTTAAACTTGGATGTGTGTAGGAATTTTATTTGGTATGTTCCTCCTTCTTCTGAGAAACCACATTTTTAAGCAGGGCTTATAGCTGATCTTTCTCAACACATTACAGTTTCATTACAAAGAATTACTGTTACTTGCAAAGTTTCCTCTTTGCTGTATGTGGAATTTCATTTTTGTTGTATGGAGCAGGAGATGTTTTGTCAGGTTGCACTTTATCCTGTGGTTTTTGTTTCAGAGCATGACTGGTAAAGAGTGGAAAAGTAAAGGTTAAGGAGAATACAGAATTTGTGCTATTTTGGTCAGTTATTGCTATTACATATAATCTGCCTACAGTCTAGTTTGGGGAAAATTCTGGGTTACTATTCAGTGTTAGTGTCAGTCACACTATACTTAACTAGTGTCTGAAAAAAGAGTGACTTCAGATGCAGGTCTCCAGAAAATTGATCAACATACTTCTCTTGAAGTAGTGCCCAAACCCGTATTGGTTTATTCTTCCACCCATCTGTGAGACGTTTGTCTAGGTCTTAAGTGTATGTATGAAACATTTAAAAAAAAAAAGATAAAATTTACAACGTTCTTTCCATAGTAGATCAGCATCCATACTTTGGCTGTTAATCAAAATCAGCAGCTCCCTTTACCAAGACTCTCATTGTTCTTTGGTGCTGTTAATAGAATGTGCTGGCTGAGGGATTCTCTCTTAATATGAGATTGCTGAAATTAATGTATTTGTCCATAATAACGTGTTGTCTTTTTTCGGTGATTCAAAGTTATAAGGTATTCGGATGATAAAGCCTTTCTGACTATTACAGTTTGCTTGTTGTTTGCCATAAATTAATCTCCCAGAAGTTTGGGATATGAATTTGTGAACAATTTTTTCCCATTTTCTGAAAATGTTGTTCATGGTTCAGATGATCGGATCAGTGTATTTAAACCCTAAAAAATTTCTAATAGTTTAGATGTTCAGAAGTTGTCTGCGCTTTATGGTTGCATATTCCTTTGATACCATGTTTTCACCCTGACGGGCATGATTCATTTTACTACTTCCAGAAATTGCTTAAGGCTGTAAAAGATTATTGACGAGTTTTATAAAGATGAGAGTTCAGAAGCCATAAAATTAGCTTAAAGAATGGCTTCAGCTTCTGAAATTAACTTAAAAGAAATTACTTGGATCAGAAATGAATTTTGGATCATTTTTTTGAGAGGTTTCAACTCGAAGTATTTCTTTTAATAGTTTGTTTATATTGCACAAGAAGAAAGACAGTGTTTGACTTAGTTATTTCCAGTCAACTTCTATTGATGACTCTGTAATACAGCATTTAGCCCCTAAATAAGGACTGTAATAACTGGAAGAAAAAGAACTTATTTTTTTACAGAGAATTTTGTAATCAAGGGCCTACTGCAAAAGCTAGAATTGTGATATGGAACTTATGAAAGGGTAATTTTAAGAAGTAATTAAAAATAAACTGGGACTTGGACACTACAAGCAAAAACTGAGAAATTAAACCAATTAAATTAAAAACACCCTCCTCCCAAAATAGAGGTCACAGACAAGAACCAATTTAGGTGTACCAAGTGAGATTTACAAGTTGCCCATCCAGCTAATAAAGAAGAAGAAGAATGGAAGAATGATGTTGCAGGGGAGCTAACCTTTTCTTCTTGTGCAGAGATGAGACTACCTCAGAGCTGCTTTTTTAATTGTTATAAAGATGAGAAGATACGCCAATCTGTCCTGTTCAAGAGAGATTAACATGTTAATTTGTTAATAGTATACTAACAGCATTCAGCAAAAACTTGCATGGGCTCCTTAAGAATGAAGTTATTTAGCTGTGTTAAACATTGTGAACCTTGTAATCAGATTCATTATAGTAGGAGTATACTGAAGTACTATCTCCGCTTAGAAAGGTAGAGAGTGGTAAGCATGCGTACTCCAGCGTGATGGGAAATAGTTCAATGCAAGATTTGTTTATTTGATTTTGCCAAGCATGGGCACTCCAAGTTTAGTGATATTGCAACAGGAAATTAAAGGTCTGTTTGTGTTAACGCTGGGTTTAGATGGCAGCATGAAAGTTGGAATTGTGATTTCAAAGCAGGATGCAAGCAGAAGTTCAGGAATTGTTGCCCACAAATGGAAGTGGAGATTTAAGTAAGTGAGGAAATGTAAGGCTCTTCCCTCTGGAATTTGAGTTACTGCTGCGTACTTGTGCTTTACTTTTCTTGTGGCCCCTTCGCCGCTGCTATGAAAACCTTCATTCTCCAGCAGGTAAAGTGATGTCCCCTAAACTCCTGCTATGCTAGCGCCATATTTTCATTCACAGGACCAAAGGCTGCAGGATGGTGCTTAATAATTTACTCCCTTCATCCACTTAGTTCAACAGCATCAGGAATAACTTTTAATGTTAGAAGAAAAGTGCTTCTGCTAATCTCTTAATTTGAGGCTCGGGTCTCTCTTTCTTTTTTTCTTTTTTCCTTCTTTTTTCTTTGTATTCTGCAGAGGTAGTGCTTTGACTTCTCTGACTGTAAATCCAATCCCACTCTTTTTACTTTTCCTAACTCAGTCCTCTCGGGAGAATTTTCCCCATTGGAAGGACTGTGAAGGAGTACTTTACTTAAAGACAAGGCAACTTACTGTGAAGTGGGGAGACAGTACCTTGCCTAGGTGCTCTCCTGTTCCCTCTCTTCATATTCTCAATGATGATACAGGTCTTTGCGGCTTCCCTTCTCTCCTTCCCTTGTGGCACAAGGTTCTTACAGCTTTTCCTTCCTGCTTTTTGAAGAGTATATGAACAGTTGTATGTCATCCAGTGGGCAGTGAGACTTACACTGCTGTAAAAGTCCTACCCTATTTGGCTGTGCACCAGCCTCACTCCCACCTTTATCCCCTGGTGACATGGAGTTAATTTGGAACATCTGGTGCCAACGGGTAAGGTAGCTTGGATGTGCACCTCCTTATCTCCCCAACTCTAGTCACTGGTATCACTGGGGCAGTGCAGCCTGGGTGTGCACTTCCCCTGTTTCTCAGTCCTTAATATAACTGCCAACTCCAGGAAAAGAGAATTGAAAAACTAAACAAAAATATTATGTTAGTTTTTACAATTGTATTCTGTACTTTTCACTAGATTTTTTTCCAAGAATGACAATACCATGACATATGAGAACTAGTAGGCACTGGTTTATATTTAGAGTACTTTCTCAAACCCAGTCTGCACTGCCTACTTTTGGCCCCTTAGAGTGTGATCCGTCTCCCTCTCCAGCGTTTAGCTGTGTCATACCATAGTTGAAAAGATGACATCTGCATGGATAGGTTTTGTTGTGGACTTTTCCTAGTTAATTCATACTGAACTCATCTGCTTCTGTTTCTTTTCTTGTCACTAGTAGTATGTGTAATAAAACATTTACCCTTCCTCTGTGAACCTGGTATGATTTGGTTTTGCATAATTTCTGTATTGCTTCTTCTAAATTTTTTTGTTGTGACACAGAAATTCCATGGCAAATTTCAGCTATTCTGGAAAGAGAAGTATTCAAAGTTGGTCTTGATATTCCACTGATCTTAACATTTTAAATTTTCCATCTGTATGTTCTTAGTGTGGTCTTTGTTCTCTCCTGGTGATTTCCCATGGTATCTGTTCACAACAATATTTGTAGACCAAGTGTGGGTCAAAGGCACCAGTTCAGATGCAATGCACACTTGCTTTTTTATGCATTCCACAATGAGAACAAAAGGCAAATTTTCTTTAGCTATACTATGCCTGTTTCCTTTCTGTTAGTTTGAGGCAGTGCAAGGGAGCAAGATGACATTTTCTGGATAATAGATTTTTTTTTTCACCAGTCCCCTAATCTTTGTTATATATAAATTCTTCTAGAAATCGACAAGCCTGGTATGTTAAGAACACGTGTAACTGAAATCAGTATTTTATGTTAAGGCAACTTGTTCAAAAGCAATGAACGTTTTCAGTATGTCAAGTAAATACCATCACACACATCCTAGACAGGAGAAATAATGTCTTGAGAAACTTGAAATAGAGCTGGGAAACAGTCTTCCAGTTTAGAAAATTTTCTTCCTCAGCTCCTTTTTTTTTTTTTTTTTTTTTCTTCTGGATTTCACTAACTTACTACAGAGTCTCCAACAGTTCTTTTGAGATGTGTTATTCAGCAGAGAAGGATTCAAACATCTAAAGGCTAAAATCTTTGGGAATCGCATACTGACAAATTCCTATGGAATTGCTGGTTTATGTTTTATTGTAGTAGACATTAGGCATATTTTGTCATTAAGCGTATTTTGTTATTAAATTTGCTGTCTAGCAGGAATAAGTAGTATGAGAAAAGCCAGAGTCTCTAAGAACCATCAAATACCTACTATTGTTTTCCAAACAGAGGCAGCGAAATATTTTTGCCAACCTGAATAATTTATTATGACATTACCAGTATCTTCAAGGACATACGTAATGTAAATGAAGAGAAGGAAGAGTATCTAGAAGTGAGGGATAGTGAGGTGCCCTGTACCTGCACCTGCTGTCTGTGTGCATCCCTTCCCTTTCCTATGGGAACATTGTGCTATTTCTTTCCCCTTTTCCTCTCGTTTTTTGAACTTTTTGTTTTGTCTCTTGCCCGTCCGGTTTTAGTTCCTGAAACTAAAGAAGTGGTGAGCCACAAGTACAAGACGCCAATGGTGAGTCAACTGTGATGCCTTCTGGTAGTTCTTTAAAGGATATATCTTTTCATTGTCATGTGGTGAAAAGAATTATATTGAGATTGCAGGATTTGCAATATAATACTGCAGTGGAACACCAGCTGCTCTTTTATGATAGTTTTCCTTAAGGGAAGACAACAAACTTGGTGATTGTTGTTTCTATGCAACTAGAGAAACTCACAGGTAGTGCAGAAAGCTTGGTCTCTTTAGTTAAGATAGATAAAGATGTAAGGTAGCTGGTTTGGCATGAACTTCAGGACAATAAGAGCTAGTGGAACTGTTAAATTTAAGACAGTGCAGAACACAATCCTTAATCCACAGAACAGATGGAAAGGGAAACTAGTTCCTGGGCATAAAATGATTGCTAACTGAATATATGAAAAATTCCCATTTCCTCATAAAAATGAGCATTGAAGATGCAAGAGAACAGTGTAAGTATCAATTCAGGCCATGTAGGTCAGTTATTGCTGTGGTTTAGTGTTCAGTTTTTATAACATTTTTTGAACACCAGCAGTTAGTTGATAATGATACTTAGCACTTTTACACATAATAGTTCCAACGATCAGGCTTATATGCACTTATGAGGATGAAATAGAAGCCAATGATTGTCATCAGAACTGAAATTTCCTCAGTTATTTTATGTCTGAAGTGCAGTGTGTACATTTGGTGATTGCATGGAAACTCACAGTCCTTCAAGAGGTGAGAGAGAAAAATTACTTGAAGAAGCTAGAAATATTTTAGAAACAAAATGCTTAGAATATTTATAATTTAAGAAGCAGACAGCTGTATCTTTTAATAAGAAAAGCCAGTTTAATGAAAATTAATTGTAGTTTACACAAGTGTTTTAGCTTGTGCTATAATACAACAAAACATGTTGTTATGCTTATTACCTCTACAAAGATTATAAATGTCAATTTACAGGACAAGAACCTTTAAGATCACCAGAATAGCCAATATTAGAACTAGGACATAAACTAAGTAGAAGTCTTACCTTCACTGAATTGTGCTGCCAGTCGCATGCGAAAAGAGGATTTGCTGTTAAATAATAGCACACTTAAGTTAAAAGCAGTAATTCTAAATCTTCCTAATGTTATGTGAAACCCTCTGCTTTAAGGTGACATAATTGCTTGGTATTCTTCATATGAAATATGCAAAGTTGGGTTGTGGGGGGTTTTAATTAAAAAAAAGGAAGAAAGAGAAAAAAAAGCTTGTATTATTAATGGATTCACTAGCGTTGGTTAAAAATTACAAGGATTACCAGTCCTTGTACCTTTAAGCATAAAAAGACAGTTGTGAATAAGGAAGAATCCCACCATATCATGAGTCAAGGTACAGTATTGGATGTTTAGTTTTAGCTGCCTTAGTTAGCACTTTCAACCCGTCCCAGAACACTTCTCGTAACTTCATACAACAGACCAAAAGCAAATATATTTGTTATATTTGTTACAAGGCTTTTCTTCTTTATCCATCTCAGTTAGAAGGTAGTATGGGACACTTTCTCCTGATTTTGTCTGTCACCAGAGTAGTTGTCCCATGAAGGAAGACATGCAGCAAAATACAAAATGTGCAGTGGATTTTGTAAAACACTAGGGCATCTGTATTTCATTATCTCCTTTTCTAAATTTTGTAGGCTCATGAGATCTGCTACTCCGTGCTGTGTCTCTTCTCTTATGTGGCTGCCATTCGTGGAAAAGAGGCAGAAAACAAAAGCAAACCACCTCGACCAGTTTCCAGTTGATCACAATATTGGGAAATACCTACCCTTTGGCACGTTAACATGCAGTACTCCGATTTTTACTGCAGTTACTGGAGCTCACTTTACTGTATTCTATGAGAACTTGATTATTTATGTATGACCCTGCAAGTCTTTCCCCATAGAAAAACCTAAGACTTCACTGCTCAGTCTCTTTCTGAATCCATCCTTAATGGAGTTTTGATGTGAGCTGTTAAGCAGACAGTTCTGAGCATCAGCATCGAGCTGTGAGTGACCTACTCCGGCCATTCCTTTGGAATTCCATTTTTCTTAAGATGACTAACAGCTTGAGTTGGGTTTTTTTTTTGTTTCTAGTGGTACTTGTTACAGATGAATCACTTTACAACTGCAGGCTTCTGCTTTCAGATTCTCTGGTATGTGCACAGTGGAAGCAGTCTGGTCCTGCATGTTGTTTAAATGTTGTGTTTTTATTGTTTTCCTTCTGTGTTGTTCATTTTTACCCATGAAAGTGGAGTTCTTGTCACATAGTTCTTCAGACCCTTTTGGTAGAGATGAACAATTTAGCTACCATAGTCTTAAAATGTTATGTGACAATTGAAGTTTGGCTATTAAATTGGTCCATCTGTGGAGAAGACTGCTTCTCAAGTGGGAAAAGAAGTGGCGAGAGAAACTTTGAAGGCAGTATATTGTGAAAAACCCTGACACCTCATGGATTGTTTGGATTTTCAAATGGGAGTTTAGATTAACATTTGTAGATATCCCAGCAGTAGAGTTAACAGATGCATATAAGCACTACATAAAGCAGTTAATCACAGGGATTAGAAAATGAATAAGGAAATTTAAAACTTGGAAACGTTATTGGCAGAAGCACCCAGCAGACCCATGTCTTTTTGGGCTTGTAACTATACACAAGATATTTCTATAGCAATCCGCAGAACACGTTCAGAAGCCCAAAGGATTATGCTGTCTCCAAATTTTTTAAGCCATTGCTTTTTTTCAATCTGTACCTGTATATCAAGGAATCTTGCAAATACGGTGTTAATGGATAATGAAACTCACACAGTTAAAACTATTCATCACATTCCTTATTTTTAAGTAGGCCGATTATGAATGTTTTTTGCATCCTGTTTTTGTTCTTGAACTGTACTGTGCTTGTCCGGAAAGCTCTTAGGATGCTGGAAGGAGAGACTGTCTAGAGAAAATAATGTTACATATAAAATACCTGGAAAAAAATGCTCTGATGCAAACTGATGTATTGTATGTTTTGACATAGAATTCTGAGTAAATGCACCCATAAATAACCCTGTTTTGGCTTGGTCAGGGTATCTACCATTTTGAATGGAATACACTAGTAATGGGTGAGGAAATGATGTAAATATTATAGTACCACATCTATTTATAGAAACTGTACAGCTGTCTGAATGTGAAAATAAAATGTCATTCAACCAGCAACTGGTTTTCATCCTCCTGTGCTTTTCTATTGATGCAACTTATTCTGAAATTAATATAACTATATATAAAATACATCATACACATATCTGAAATAATGAAAAAGAGAAGACTATAAATGGAAAACCTACATTTCTTTCCACATAAGCAGTTGAAAGTAATTTGGGTTTTTTTTTTTTTACTTCTATCATAACATCCATGTAATTTGCCTTTTAAAAAAAAAGTCTGAAAAACATGAATAGGGAAAACAGATGCATCTAAAATATTGAAAATTTTTTTTTTGTACACATGCAAATAGAAGCAACATGTAAAGGATTTTTCATCCTTTCCTAATATAAAAGCAAAACTGAAATTGGCAAACCCTGAAATTAGCCTGTTTTATATTTAATTTATTTTCTTTCATCTTCTGAGACTGTAAATTTTCTTATAGCAGTATCTGAATTTTTAGCAATTACAGTATTCTTGATACTACTATATTACAAGTATAGTTAAGACTGACATCACTTTGGTCTACAATAGATGTTCCATTTACTGCAATACTGGGTCCCACTTAAGTAGACAATTTTAATTTTTAAACTGTAATTATGTTAGCAGGCCTATTAACATATTCAGACCACTAACTTAAAATTATAAGGGGAAGATCAGAGTTTAAAATAATTAAATGCACATGCACAGTATCATTTAATATATACAGCTCCTTTTTTTTCCCTGTAGAAGCTGTATTTTTGCAAGTGTATCTTGCTGTGACTTAAAATCATAATATTACATAAACTGCTGTATGCTCTAGACTGCTGAGAAACTTCAGTCTGGAATAAGACTTTCAAAAGTCCAATAATAAAAATGGCCCTCTGTCCCCTTTGACATAATTTTTTTTAAACAACAGGTGTGGCTGAATAGTTATAGCGCTTGCTGTTCAGTGGCAAGGAAGAATCTGTAACAACCTCAGCGAGTGGACTGACACTGGGCTTCTGTTCTTTAGGTGAGAGCAACTGACTTGGCTTCAAAATTGAAGAAATTTTTGAAATGTACAAAATCTTTCTTTTACTTGATGAAGGTGACTTGGCAGGTGTTCTCCTAACTGTTGGAATGTAGCATATTCATCTGAGACAAAGGCATGCCGTGTAGCGTTTCCACTACACAATGCTGTTTTCTGGATACCAAATGCAGGTCAGACTTAAAATTGGTATGAATGCATAAGTCATTTGGAATGCAGTTTTCCGTCCTTTCCACCTTCACTTCGTCACTCCTAAGCACTGAGAGGTACATAAACTTTACTTAGGAGAAAAATAATTACAGTGATTTGCATGTGTTTTATCATGTCCTACTTATTTTGATCTTTAGCTAAGAATTCCTTTGTGGCAGTGAGAACTTAGAGGCTTCTAAACCTTCCAGAACTGAATGGAAGACTAACTGAGAATAACTGGTAATAATAAATAGTGCTAGAAAATTCTTAGAACAAAATGAATAATGCTTCCGTTTTTACCACTAGGAGGAGCCTGTGTCTTAATTTTTAAGTATTTCAAGATGACAACCCTTTACCACTTGTGATATTTCCAAGGCACTTATACAAATGTGACAAAGATTCATGAACTTGCCTTAAAACTTAAGGTATTTGCTTACCCTGAACAAGTTTCTTTTTCTCCTACAATTCCTTGTTTATGGAAGTTAGTTTTCAAAATGACCATTAAGTGTTCTCTGCAAACACTGGGGTTTGGGACTAGTCTTCCTGGCAGTTTTCAAAGTGGAACTAAGGTTACTAATTTATGTCTTCTGGATCGCAGATCTTCATTGTTGTGTTCCAAAAAAATGCCCTTGTTTTGTTTGTGAATGCAGTGTCAATTTCTAATATGAGTGCATCCACACTTTAAAGGTTAAAGGTTTTAACATCAGTGCGTGTCACGACAACAGTACTTATTAAGTGATAATTGTTAAAGATCTCTCTGGAAAAAACTTTGAAGATATCTGTTGAAGAAAAGAGTTCATTGCTTTAAGAAAACCATTGTAAAGATTTCCTACACCCTGATTCCTAGCTTCAGATAATCTCTACCCTCCTACTTTGACACTTTCAGAATAGCAGAGTGTGTAGAATAAAATGTTCATCTGAGTATTCAAAAGCTAAATTGCTAGTAAATGTACATTATGAAGAATTTTGATTCCAACTAAAGTTCTATCTTAGTGATCAAAGTGGATGGAAAAATGTGGGTATGATTCTAAGCCTTCTTAGGAGCCTTTATGTTGCAAAGATATTGAAGATCTTTCTAGATCATGCTGCTTACGCCAGAGGGAGGGCTTTTGGTTCCCACTGGGTGTATTTTTAATACAGAAACAGTTGCCTAGAATGGGAACAAAGCAGTTGCATGCCCCTGTGTCAAGCACAGGCTCCTGTTACCACTGAATTCAGAACTAGACAGAAAATAGAAGCTAAACTTCTCACAAAGAGCAATATTTACATCCCAGTTCCCCTTCATTGCCAAATGGATGAAAGTCAGAAGATGTTGCCTCTGAGTCGAGATCTTCCTTCTGTGAGAAAAATGGCTTCTGCTCAACTCTGACTCCAGTGGTGTTTAGGAACTCCATGTTACTGCTCTTAGACAAGCCAGGTTTTGGTGAAAGGCATCATCTCCTAGCTCCTAAAGAAGTGGGAATTAGGACCAAGAAGCAGCAGCTTTGTGCAAAGGACCTTGCCACACAAAAGGCATTGCCGGAGAGGCTCTTGCTCTTCCGGAAGTCGCAATTCAGCCAGAGGTGTCTGCTTCTTACAAGGGCAAGACATTTCCAAACAAACAGCTGTGTGGTATTACTTTGCTTCTGCTCACAGCCATGGCTTCATGTACAGCCCTGTAACACTCTTGTAAGATGTTCAGTGTAAGCAACAGCTTTGAGTTCCTACAGCCATTCCCAGTGTGGCTATTTCACTAAAATAGTAGAAATGCGATGATGCTTTAAATAACAGTGGTTATGAGACCCGTCTTTCCAGCACTGTATCAGAAGGCTTAAAAGCTTGATGGTGACAAATGAGGTTTGAGTGCAGCTGAGTACAAACCAGACTTACAGAGGACCTCTTTCAGGCAGATTCTGTGCTCAGATATGATAAAAAATAGCTCAACACTTACACCAAAGTTAGTAAAATCCTAAGTTAATTTTCTGTTTACATGTGTACAATTTTTTGAAACTTCTGCAGCATAGTAGGTCTAGCATTGACTAATTTTGTTTTAAAGCATCAGTCCAACAAAGAATCATATACAACAGCCAAGGGCAAACAGTCCTGCTTCTATTTGCAACAGTTACTATAGTGATAAACGTGGTTTAGGAACCTACATAGAAATAGAAATCCCCTTCTCCCAAAATAGCTTTACATAAAAAGGAACAAATGGTGGCAGGAAAAACACCAGTAAAACTCTAAACAGTTGCTTCCTTCAAGTACACGAAAACTCTAGTTCTGTATTTCCACTCCTCCCACTCTTTTTTGCCTTTTCAGTTTCTCTTATTAACTCCAGTAAGTGCCAGTCTATGCACACTGCTCTGGGTATCAAAGTGCTCTCTTCTTCCCTTTTTACCCCTCTCCCTGCTTGAATTCCTCACTGTTTCCTCATTCTTCGCCTACACTCTCTTCAGCCAGTCAGGCTCAGTTCTGCACCTCAATTTCTCATCAGATATCTCCATCTGTTTCACTTAGTGTTCTTTCATACATTCTTCTTGCCTCTCTGACCATCATCATCTTACAGCCTCTTTGCCCAAACAGTTCAGACCTATGTTCTTCCCTGGTCTCCTGCTCAGCTGGTCTCTGCCCCTTTCCAGATTCCCATCATAGTCATCTTCCTCTCTCCTGTTCTTAGCAAGCTCTCTGTCATCTTCTTTCATCCCTCAGCCTCATTCCACTCTAACATCCTTTGCATTTAAATAAAATTATTTTTGGTGGAGTGCTGAAGAGTGCTATAGAGGGAACAGAAAAGATTTCCAGTCTTAGTACAGCTCTTCTGCAATAGCTCCCACCAGCAGCTCTTCCCTACAATCCTTGTTAGAAATGGCTCAACCAGTTAATCTGATATTAAAAATAAATAAATTTGTCTAAACCAGACTTGTTTTAGGACTAACAAATTGTCCAAATTGTTAAAGTTTTTCAGTGCTGTAGGAAACAAAAAAGCATAAGAGGAAATATCATGCTTCATAAATACGTAGTACTGTTAGCCCCCCTTGTATCAGTGAGGAAGAACAAGTCCCATTTCCAGGTAGAAATTTTTGAGGACTTTCCTATGATCAAAATCTACTATACTTAGGGTTTTTTAAGGCAACATATACATAAACTGACCTACAAAGCAGTAGAAAAGCTTGGAATCTTCGGCCATTTTTTTTCTGGGTTTGTTATATGAAAACCAGCAGTAAACAACAAAACTGTACTTGAGAGTTGTATTAGTAATTAGACTTTTTGTGATCATACTTCCCTGGAATAGATCTGGACTGCTGGGGCAATTATTTGCATTATGACAGATACCAAGCAAATGCAACCTTACTGAAGATTAAATTACATTCATCCACGATCTGGGTCCATATATTTGGGTCCCACAATTTATGCTTCCAAGCAAAACAATGAAAACTATGTATGATATTCTTTGTTTGTTAAAAACCCATAATGAATATAAAATCAAGTTCAGATGATTATCCGTGGTGAAGAAGAAAAAGGGGGCACACTTACCACTTATTTTTTCCACCTTATATCAATTTCCATAGATTTCCTTATCCACTGATATTTTATATATATTGGATTAGTCCATTTTTTGGATTTTTGGATTATTTATCTTCTGTAAAGCTATCCTAACACAGAATTATGACTGGAATGTGTTCATACTATGACAGTTATCTGTGTTTTTAGGGCTGCTTATTGTCAACATTTCTGTCTGGCACAGAAAGCTGATGCTAGACTATTTTTTCCATATCGGGACCTAGTAAATGAAGCTGTTCTTATCTATTTCTTTTAAACTTTCACCAGTTCAACCTGTTTTAAG